TCAATACGGATTAAACAGACAGTTTTAGAAGTAAGAGCGACACACAAATAAAGCTACCAACCTGTGTGTTGAGTATATTAAACATTTCCGTTGTAGTAAATATAAACCCTCTGTCCTTGCTCAGAGCCCATGGGAGGCATTGAACTCTAGCCCCCTTCATAATGACTTTGTCTACCTATCGATCCGGCTATGATCCATGTACTGAAATTCTTATATCATCAACCCCAGCCCCAACAATAACTCCAAGTCATATTTAGGGGATCTTCTGTACACCTGACAACTTAATGATGCAGTGGTCCTTGCTGAGTTTGGTCTTTCTCCTCTGTCTTCTTTCCTGCAGCACATCAAACTGTAAAATCACCTGCAGGCCCAAGTTCTTTTTGTTCAGATGAATAGAAAGAATTATAAAGAAGGACTCTTCTGCACTCTGCCTTCCCATTTAATCTAATGTCTTCATGTGTTTACCTCTGCATGCATTGTAGCAGCACTTATGTGACTTGGGCTGTATTTTTTATCTGATTTTGTGAACAGCCACCACAGGCTCTTGAAGTGAGCCAGATGATTCCTCTTCAGACGCCGGACAGTTTTTTACCTTAAACCAGGGCTACATTTCATTGTTGTTTCCATCCACTTTTCTTAGCTTCGATTTAAAGCAAATGATACATGAGACCCTTTCTCCTGCAACATTTTTATCTTCCTCAGCTGCTAATAAAACACTGTCAGAGTGACAGAAGCCTTGGGTATTCTTCCACAGATGCTCCCATTTACCTGAGGTTATATCCCGCACTGATCCTTTTAGTAAGAAACAACATCTGGGTCTTGGAAAGGATGTGTTATAACAATCAGCAGGGACAGATTTATAGCTTATCACTATAGTTGTGTTATATATCTTAATCTGACAACTGGGATTTTTTTAAAAGAGCTGATTTAGAAATCAACATCATCTTATGCCAATCCAACTCAGATATACTGTACCTTACACTGGTCATGGTAAAGTTATTCATTAAAACACCCTTAGTGGTGCCATAGAATCGGGGTGAGCATGCCTGCCTTGATAGAAGAGAGTCATGGGTTCGATTCCCAGAGGCAGAAGAGAGTCATGGGTTCGATTCCCGGAGGAACCACATATCACTACTAGTGCCTCCTGTATGTTAGCCTGTGAGTTGCAACCATGTACCTCCTGTGACTGCCTGATTCGGTTCCAAAGTCTTGCATTGTAAATTTCCCCATTGTGGGGTGAATAAAGCTTATTATTATTATTATTATTATTATTATTATTATTATTATTATTGAAAAAGTAGGTGCTATCATGGTTGTACAAAGAGTGGCTTCTTATATGGATGTAAAGAGCTGAAAAGGGGTCAAGAGAGCTCATGGTGGCATTGTTGGTAGTGCATTATCTTTTTGTCATCTCATTACAAAGCTTTTTTTTCCTTGCTGCTTCAAATACTCCTACTTTTCCTAATTTTCCTGTCAGCCGACTTTTTTCAGCTATCGTCATTCTCCAAACAACATAAAATCTCTTGTTCTTCCTCTCGCCTCTCTCTCTCTCTCCCTCTCTCTCTCTCTCTCTCTCTCTCGTATGCGCACACGCACTCCTTCTGCTCTTCTCCCGCTTTAATTGGGAGTCAGGGAGAGCAGTAGAAATCGCATTAACGCAGGCCATGTCCTGGTGTGCCATTCATCTTCTTTTTTATTACGCCGTGCCTGGGCCGCCTGGGTGCTGCCGTTCGATTTGTCACCGGCCTCGTTCGCTGATAACAGGCATTTGTCATTGCCTTGCCTCCCTGTTAATGTTATCATCTCCTCCCTGAAAGCTACCCTCCCTCGGGAAGCGCCGGCGACAAAGCACATCTGTCAAGCCAATATTTCCACAGCTAAGGGGACCACACATTGCAATAAGCCACACTAAAGCAGTTATGAAGTGTGAACAGTCGCGCGCACGTGTGCGCTGGCATGTATGCATACGCATGTTTGTCTGTACACTGGTTCGTAATGTGCACACACACGCGCACACGCACAGCCGCAACAACGCGTGCACGTAAGTTGGTGTAGTTCACTTGTCTAGACGAGGTGGGGGCTGATGGGGAGACGAAACGGTAATTTGTGGCAATTAATTACGCGGTTAGTGTGGCTTTGTTGTGTGGGAGCTCACTTTATCTGTTAAAGGGCTTCCTCTGCCAAGCTGTGATGCTATTTGTTTAATTTATAGCCACAGTTGACCTGAGGCAGAGCCTCATGCCTGTGTGCGTTTTCAGATGCGCATACTGTGGCATTACCCGCAGAATATACTCAAGTATCAGCGACATGGAGTTATGGAACGCAGTACTTTTACATTTAAACGGCAGACAATCATCGTTTACGCCCTCTCTCATCACATTTCTGTCTGGACTACAATTTGCCCATTATTTTTTGTTTTCACCAGCAAATGACACCAACACCAAACGGTAAATAACTTGGCCCAAAGGTGCCCCTACATTTATTGCACTTTTCCCCAAAAACTATCAAGATATGATATGTATTTTAATTTCTTGTGAAAAATAACTGTTGTAGTTTGTGCTGAAAAATGCCCCGGCATAATGTTTTGCAATTATTGTCACAAGTATTATCTGCTCCTCCTCAAGCTTCTTCCTAGAACGGAAAAGCTGATGGTGAACTATGACATATACATAATTGCCTTCAGGAAACATTTTGTCACTGGTGCCAGAGGCACTTTCCTGTGACAAATATAGTTGTGGAGTTCCCCTGTTGTATATTGACTATATGTGTAAATGTCCATCCATCCATCCATCCATCCATTTTCATCCGCTTATCCGTTACCGGGTTACTTCCTGCGGGTGGTGAGTCCACTGGAAGGTACCAACCGCCCTAACCAGGATTTGAACTTGCCCAGGAGGTGAACCCTGGGGTTCCACACCAATGACAGAGACATTGCCTCTGGGCCAAAGCGCCACTATGTGTAAATGTAAAAAATGTATATTTGCATGATATGATGACTTACAGACATGTCTGTACCTTTGCGACGTCAGTATAAGGAAACAGCATTGTGATGATAGATTTTTACTCGGGATGTCCAAACATTTTTGCCGATATCCGAAATGCCAATATTGTCAAAACACTTTCCGATTAGGATATCAACCGATACCGATATGCCGCATTGTAATTATATTTGACCCACCAGTATCTAGTATAGAGGTAATATAGCACTGAGGTAATTGTTTGCAACAGAGTTTCTCAGTTATGTTTCACTAAAACCTCTTCAGAGAACTAAGGTATCTGATTGGTCAGACACTGGGGCATTGCACTATTTTTAGAGCACATGTCATCTGGCGAAACCCAGGCATTGCGTTATCGGGATTTCATTATCGGAGGAAAAAATCGATAACGATTCTTACAGATTTTACAAAATATGCTAATATCGGACATCCCTAGTTTGTACTCTTATAAAGGCCTTAAAGGGCAGATGCATGATATCTGTTGAGGCATTAAAATAACTCAATTTTAAAATGCTATTTTGTGATAATAGTATAATATTGCAAGATAAATATATTAATATTACTAACAGATTATGAAACTGCTACAAATCTTATGCCCATGTGTGAAAAATGGTGCAATTATATTGATTATCCATCGCTGGTTTGAACTTCAAATCATTGGTAAATTTTAGTAGTCCATGTAAAAATGATTACTGGGCTACAGTCATGGCTATATGTCTTTTTAGATTTAAAAGACACATGACCAAATAGTACACTTCAGAACACATGGCCCGGGGGCCAAATCTGCAGTGGCCAAATCTGCAGGGCCGCAGTGTAATTATATTTGACCCACCAGTATCTAACACCTATATACTGGCAGAATGTGTACTACTAACGGTTTTTGCGCTGTTGTAACACACAAAGGTGGGACCAAGTCATTGCTTTGCAAGTCACAAGTAAGTCTCAAGTCTTTGCACTCAAGTCCGAGTCAAGTCTCAAGTCAAGACAGGCAAAGTCCGAGTCAAGTCCCAAGTTCTGCCGTTTCTGTTTCGAGTCCTTTCGAGTCCTTTTAAATGAAATAATAATATATTTACACAGATCACTTTGGGTTTTGGAGAAAGTATCAAGTCTTGTCGAGTCAAAGGGCCCAAGTCCAAGTGAAGTCACGAGTCATTGATGTTAAAGTCCAAGTCGAGTTGCAAGTCTCTTTTACATTTTGTCAAGTCGAGTCTAAAGTCATCAAATTGATGGCTCGAGTCTGACTCGAGTCCAAGTCATGCGACTCGAGTCCACACCTCTGGTAACACATATCATTTAATAGATTGTGGAAAGAAACACTGGGGGTATCTGAAAATAGCCAACCAATGATTTCTTCAGAAAGTAAGGTAATAATCCTAAATATTCTTACACCTAATAAGAGGCAATGGTCCATTTTGCAATTATACTCTAAACATATGCACAGGAATTATTTCAATAAAATAATTAAATGATATATTGAACTAATTTGATATGTTGTATTATTTATTATAATATTTAAATGTGTTTTTTTTGTTTGTTTTGTTTTTTGCAGTACCATGTAATACATCTATAAGACTAGTCATTACTTAATGGTCTTGATTAGGCACAAAAGCTCTGACAGAATTCATTTTCATTTTTATAAAGACATCCAACATTGAAAATATAAAACAATAGTACTATGAAAAAGCTCTTACATTGAACTACTACTAAAAATACTGGCACAAAGGGTTTATTCATACCCAGCATTGGCAAAAGCACTGTGCCTGTGTTATTACATTGTTCATACAGACTCACAGTTAAATTCAAGTTAAAGTTAAATGATTTAAATTTCAAATTCTATGTAAGTATTTGTGCTTGAAGTTGAGTACTGTACTTCTCATATAAATCTCCTCAACCCCTTTGGGCTAGTTACCTCTAGCTGTTTCCAGCCGTGAAGGTCCCTTTGTAATTTTTACATAATCATCATTACATGACTACGAGGTCACTTCTCTTTGCTGTCATTGATTTAAAAAAAGTCAAAGTAAGATGCAAAGTTAAAATAAACAGTCCAACTTAGTTTTTTTCTTCAATTGGATTTTTAATGTAGATCTTGTTGCTCAAGAGCCCCATAACCATTCATTAGTGACATTTTCAAATGATCAGTGGTTACCAACTCCTCTTCAAGTATGTTGTTCCTGGACGCAAACATTTGGCTAATCTCCATAAAAGTTTTGTTCTTGGTCTCAGGAATGACGAAGATGCTGTAGACGGCCACTCCCAAGCAAATGGCACAGAAGATCAGATAACAGTAGGGACCTGTGGCAATCTGAAATAAAAGAACGATAAGTGATAAGTGATAAGTGATAAGTAGATCAAAAAAAGGTGTGTACGCAAAATATGGGCTATGTTCCCTTTTTTATATATATATAATTATGTACTAAGCATCCTAATTGGTGCAGTAGGCTTTTTGTAGGCTGTGAGCAACCTTTTGTGAGTAACAGAACATTTCCTGAAGACCTGTGTCATCACCCAGATCTACAACCAATCACTGGAGCTGTGTTAAGTACCATCATGCTTCAATCACTCTAACAATCATTCCTTTTTCTAAAATCTACACCTTCGAACTCAATGCTACCTTGACATCTGTACCCCACTACTGGAACCCTTGCAGGTTGCCTACAAAGCAATGGGGTCTGTGGACAACATTGACTGCATCACATAATATATCGCCTAGACCGCGTGTCAAACTCGGGGCCAAATGCGGCCCACCAATTGCTATGTGTGGCCCGCAGGAGCTTGAAAAGCATTTAGTAAAGTCCATGAGTTTCTTAACCTAAGAAATTAAAAAATATATATATATTTTAATTGCACTGCAATGATCACTATTTGTAGCTTGTTAAAATAATAAATATATTTTAATTGCACTGCAATGAACACTATTTGTAGCTTGTTAAAATAATAATCATTTGCAGAAACATGTATTAGTCCCTGACCAGTCCTTTTTTGTTCCAAGGACTGGTCAGTCAGTACCACCCACTACTACAGACCGGTAGCAGATGCTGAGCATTAAAGGATCATTTTCAAATATTTTAAATTTTCAAAATAAAACATATTTTAGATTATTTTCTTTGTATCCAACTCTGAATGACTTAATTTAAAATATTGATTATCTTTAAATAAAAAAACATAAATGGATATGACCCAGTACCAAATAACCTTTGGACTGTTACGGGTCCGCAAACCAGGTGTTGGGTCTTCCATTTACAATCGACCCCTCAAGAGTAACTGTATTGCTGATGTGGCCCCCAGCGAAAATGGCCTAGACTCTAAAGGGGTGTGTGCCTGGATCTAGTTGGTGGAATTCAGCTCAGATTTCTACACCATTACACTGGAAATGCTGCACACCAAGCATAATCAGATCGTTGTACCTGAGGCTACCTGTCAATGGATGCTAAACTTGGCTACTAGACAGAGAGAACTCACTGGATCAGGCATTCAGCACCAGCACTATTAGCTCCAGTGTCCCTTCAGGGTGAGTTCCTGCTCTTTTCTTCCCCTCTTTTACTGAACAACTGTACCCACAGGGACCAACCACAACCAACTCTAATAGGTTGCTTGCGATGCAACTGTCATCGGCCTCATCACAAGTCTGCACGTAGACAGAGGTTGGACAGTAAGTCCGTATCAGAGATGGAAAGTAATGAATTACATCTACTCAAGTTACTGTAACCGAGTGGTTTTTGGAGTGTAATTTGTCATTTTTAAGTAGTTATTTTACTTAAGTACATTTTGACTCGAGTATTTTACTTTGTTATATTGGAAAATAACCCATTACTGAGGAAAAAATTCAATTAGGGGGAAAAAGAATCTGCATTAACTGGAAGAGAATTTTGTGGGCGTGCATGCAGATTAGCAGCTATTTTAGTATAGCCAGATAACGTTGACTAAGAGACAGTCTCTAGCCTGTCGTTGGATGATGGCTAGTGCTCAACAAAAAAAAAATGGAGGTTGAGGATTGCCGAGCAGAAAGCTCCTGAGGAGAAAGAGAAGGAAATCCTTGGCCGCATGTCAGCCAGCTCTTTGTTTTCAAATGCAAACGAGGCAATGACTTTATCATGCCATGCAAAATGTGCCTGTCCCGGCAGACAGAGCCTTCACTGTCAAAACTTAAGTGTGCTTTAGTGGCTTGAAAGTAAATTTCATTTCAAATGAAGTATTTTTTTTACTTTTACTTGAGTAGATTTTAAGGAAAGTAAAGATACTTTTACTTCATTTTATTTTTTCTGTACTTTTTCCACCTCTGGTCTGTAGGTGCAGTCATACTAAGCTAGAGCTAAACAAACTGAAAACTTTAGGAGACCCCTCCCCCCCCCCCCCCTCTCCTTCCCCAAACCCTGAACAAACTTGCATAGTGGGACCACCAATCCTGACCTGCTAAGAAAACTCCACTATCACCAGGGGCCGATTGTCCTTTTTTTACCCAGTAGGTTAGTGTGTTTCGTAGTGCAGCGGTTAGCATGCCTGCCTCGCAAGCCTTCGATTCGCAGAGGAACAACATGCCTGACTGTGAATCCTCACCTTGTAAGTCGCTTTTGATAAAAGCGTCTGCTAAATGTATAAGGCATACCATAATACATAAGGGAATTGAGCAAGAATTTTTTTTTTCAGTGACAGCTGCCACCCCAATATATGAAAAAAGAAAAAAATATTAAAAATAAATATTTTTGTCAAGAAAATCTGATTAAGAAGTGCAGATAAAGGATGCTCTGACCTCAAGAAACGGGAAGACAAAGCCAATGGTAAAGTTTGACAACCAGTTGAGGCATCCAGCCACAGTGTAAGCAGCCGGTCTGTGTGACTGTTTAAACAGCTCCGCAGTGAGCAGGAACGGCACACCAGCTACAAAAAGAAAACAAAAGTGATTAAAGATTTAAAAGCACAAGATCTGGATGGATAAATGTGGATTAATTCCGTTCAATTATGGTACACTTCATTGGTAATTCATTTTTTTAAATGGACAGCTTATCATACTTTGACTTTTAAATGAACAAATTAGCATAGTTTATGCTAAGTCTAATGAGAATTAGAAAATTCACTTTAGATTGTTTGTGTCATCTTTTTGCTTATGATTATTCCTACCCATAACCATTCTTTAGCAGTCATTAAAGCTAAATGTAACATAAGGCCACACAGCATGCTTTAATTAGGACTTTCTTATTTCTAGGCAACTCGAAAAATATAGTGGCAAAGTTGCGCTTAATAATATGATAATTCAGTCTCAGATAATTTAGTTCTTAAAACAATTCTCCTTTTGTTAAAAATGAAAAACAAACATGGATATGTCCCACTTAATCTTACTTATGTTTAGTACAATTTGGACCTTGGGTTTGAAGTATTGGTGTAATTCATTTTCACCAGCATCAGCAATGCAGTTCCCCTTGAAGGGCCTTTTGTAAATGGAAGACTGTATAGATGCTACTACTCCAGAACATGTTTCTGCAAATGATTCTCGTTAAACAAATATTTTTTTTAATTTATTAAGTTCGAGAAACTCTGCTGCATTTACTTTATTACTTTTTTACAAAGTGGACCTTTCAAAATCTGGGCCCTGGCATGACAGAGTGTATATGATGATGATGATATTTTACAGATCCTCACTTGTAATTTAAAAACTATCTGAAAAGAATGTGTAACTATCACCTTGGTGTTTTAAAAAGAGCACAGATAAGATTTAGAACAACGTATTCAAGAAAGATTTTACCTGGGCCTATGCAGAAGCCAGCAATAATTCCAACAACGCAGCCGACACTGATATAGCGCATGAATGGTAGCTCTGTCTGTGGATGGGAAAAAAGTGAGTTATTTTTAATAATAATAATAATAATAATTTTAATTAATAATCTAATAGAAGACTCATTATTTCATACTATTGACCTTCCACTGCGAAAAACACCTTTACGAACTTTACAAAATAACTAAGTGTTAATTACAAACGGTTGATTTACTGCAAACTAACTGAATGAGACATCATAAAAAAAACATTTACCTGTGTGAAAATGTATTTGAACTTATAGACTATTATATACAGTATATATATTAGAATAACCCTATACCTGGAAGAGGATATATTTTAGAATAACCCTATACCTGGAAGAGGACAGACACGGTAATTCCAGCACAGCAGACTCCCATGAAAAGAAAGCCTCCAATCATCAGAGGTTTTCTGCCCAGACGATCAATGGTGAAACACTAAAGAAAAATGAGATGGTGTTAAATATTCAGTTTTATCCACGTGCTCTGTCGTTAATGTTCTTTAAACTCTATAGAATTGTATTTTTTAAATCCAATTAGTATAAAGTATATCATTAAAAAACACGAAGAGACCTGGTTTAGTTGTTTCTTTTGAAGTACCGAATACTCACTCCAAGCACTCCAGAAATGACCTCGATGGCACCAGTTCCCACCGTTGTGTACTGAATATAAGCCTCTGATATTCCTGCATTCTTAAATATGTCATTTGTGTAGAACCAGATCTGAAACCAGCAAACGTAGTGTGATGAATCAAACTTTAAATTTAATTAGCACAAAATTTAATTAGGACATATTTATTCAATAGATCAGACTTTTCTACCCCATGACACTGTTGCATTGATTAATTTGACAGAAAAAAGGGATAGTATTTTGTAATTGTATATAAGCAATTTAAGTGATATAAGGATGAATTCCACTTGACTTTAAATTGTGTAACTTACTCCGCAACACTACTTGGAAAATAGCCCTACTAAATGTATCGTATTTTCCGGAGTATAAGTCGCACTTTTTTCAAAAAATTTTCAGAAAATTTAAATGTCGCCATATTTACACTGATAGCCGCTAGAGGGCACTCTATACTCGTGTACCAGTATCTTTACTCCTGTACCACTGAAAATTTGCATGTTCATTATTTTCACACTGACAGCCGCTAGAGGGCACTTTAGGCTTATGTACCAGTATCTGCTACTACTGTACAATTGAAAATGTACGTTTCGTTATTTTGACACCGACAGGAGCTAGAGGGCACTCTAGGCTTGTGTACCAGTATCTGCTACTCCTGTACCACTGAAAATTTAAATGTCGCCATATTTACACTGACAGCCGCTAGAGGGCACTTTAGTCTTAGATACCAGTATGTGCTACTACTGTACAATTGAAAATGTACGTTTCGTTATTTTGACACCGACAGGAGCTAGAGGGCACTCTAGGCTTGTGTACCAGTATCTGCTACTCCTGTACCACTGAAAATTTAAATGTCGCCATATTTACACTGACAGCCGCTAGAGGGCACTCTAGGCTTGTGGACCAGTATCTGCTACTACTGTACCACTGAAAACTGTTCTCTTCGTCATTATGCATTTTTTGGCTAGTGCGACTTATACCCGGGGGCAACTCATCGTCTGGAAAATACTGTCATTTTTTTTAGGTAGCAGTGAGGTTTTAGTAATTTACTGCTTGATGTCCTCACTGTGGTTTGGCCGGGGGCAACTCATAGTCTGGAAAATACTGTCATTTTTTTTTACTGTTCTCTTCTTCATTATGCATTTTTTGGCTAGTGCGACTTATACCCGGGGGCAACTCATAGTCTGGAAAATACTGTCATTTTTTTTTAGGTAGCAGTGAGGTTTAGTAATTTACTGCTTGATGTCCTCACTGTGGTTTGGGTTGTATGTGACAATTCATGTCACTCAATTTCCCACATTCAGCATCTATATGACACTGCCTTTAAGTTGGTTACCTATTTATTGAAACAAGACCTAAAGAAGTATCAGTATTGGTACTTGGTATTGGTGAATACACGCCAGTAGTAATTAGCTATTCAATCCCACACATATACATATAGGGCAATACATACACAAAGATCTTAAGACACAAACATTGACAGACCCACATACGTACCGCGTCGATACCAGACAGCTGCATGCTAATGTTGACCACAATAATAGTGATGACTTGCCAGCGGACAGTGCGGTCCAAAAGCAAGCCCCAGACAGAGATGGTCTTAATGGAGGACAAAGAACGTTGTTCCTCCTGCATTTCCTCAACTTCCGCTTGAATATTTCCCTTAGTACGGTACCACTTCAATGCTATAGAAGAGAAAATTAAAATACTTTTATATATTATATTATTCAATCAATGTTACCCTATATAAAAATTACTTGTGAAAAATATTAACTTTCACACCTGCAATAGTGGCGTGAACATTTTCCTTTTCGATCAGAAGGTACCTTGGACTCTCTGGAAACCATGGCAGAAGCATTACCTGGACTATTGTTGGAAAGATCACCAGGGACAAAAGTGTGGGCCAGTGTTCTTCCTGTATTAAAACAAAAAACAAAAAAACAGGATATTTTTACTAAAACAAAATTGACTTCCACTATTATAAAATGTAATTGTATTACAAAGAAAGATTTATTATTTTTATGAATTAATATTAATCAGAATAATTATGCCTGCATGCATTTTTTGGACATGCATCTCACAAAATTTTTACTTCTTATATACAGCTGGTCCTCCTAGGTCTTTTTTGTAAAAACTTTTTGAAGAGTTCAACCTCTCCTTTAAGATGATTTCTCTGTCATATTTGCTCCTCGTAAACTTTTTTTTTTTCACTGATCATTTTTGCAGAAGGGTTCACTGCATAGGTCCCCAAATTTTTATGTGTAACGTTTTGCATGATTGTCAGGGATTGGCTAATCAGTGATGAAAATGAAAATGACATTACAAAAAAATAGAGTACAAGCCCAAATCCCTGAGGATGTTCAACTTCTTTTTACTGCAACAACATGGTCAGATCTAAGGGTTTTGTTCCTTGTGTATAATCTACCACATGGTTTGGTGCAGAAAACTTCACAAATATAGGGCTGAAAGTAAAATGTTTTCAAATTTTTTGACAATGACGTACTTCTTGACATTTGTCAATATGTGCAACCAGATGTCCTCTAAAGTAAACAACAAAGGTAAATTGTGGTCGTTGCCATCTAATCCAAAAATAGTCACATCTAAGGCAACTGGACGGAATAGGTTTTTTTGAAGACGTTTCACCTCTCATCCAAGAGATCCAAGAAATACCCAGAATTTCCCAGTGAACCTTTTAGTTCAACACAACAGTGTTTTTGTTTTTGTTTTCAAGACATTCTTGGGAGTTTTTACATTATCTTACAAGGAGAGAAAATACTTATTTTAGATATCACTTAAAATAAGTAACCAAGTCTAAGCATCACAATGTCAATACCTGTCCCAGTAGTTCTTGCAGCCCCAGGACCTGAGCAATGAAGACACCCATACAAATATGAATACTGGGAACAAGACCCAGGAAGCCTCTCAGGTTTTTAGGTGCAATCTCTCCAAGGTACATTGGCACTGCGCTGAGGGAGATACCTGTGAAGAAACTTGTGTGATTACATTGGCAAATCTATTTTAGATAATATATTTTTTTTTTAAAAACTCTTATCTTAGTTTAAACCAGTGGTTCTCAATTATTTGTCATGTCCCCCTTGGGGACAAAATGCAACCCACAACCCTGCAAATTTAAATACTATTGAGAACCTGATAACATGTATATTTTTATCTGTACAAACCACATTATGAGTTGCTGCCACCTAGTGACTGGAGGCTGGTTATCATTCAAGCATTACAGCAGTGGTACACTTATGTCCAGCGTGCCATATTCCATTGGAAGCCCCTCACGCACCCCCTGACACCTCACCAAGCCCCGACAGGGGGGGGGGGGGGGAGACCCCCACCTTTAGAGAGTCTGTGTTAATCTAAAATTTATTAGATTGTCTTCCGCAGACAACAACAAAAAAAAAAGGTCTGATATTCCATTTTAAAAGGCCACACGTTGGGAAATGTGTCAGAGAGCCGGACTAACATGTTGCTAGCTTGAAAATAATTGAAAAATAATGCTCAAATGCTTTTATCATTTTCTATCTATTGGGGAAAGTGGGTATTGCAGGGAAAAGACAGAAGTATAATGATACTATTACATTACGATACATTTAATATAAATAAATTCTATCATTTGGAAAATGTTTGGTGGACCGGATTAAAAAGAGGAATGGGCCGCAACCGCTCCCCTGCTCCCCAATAAGGTGCACAGGAACCCGTTTTCATTTAGTATCCCATTCCATTTACCAAGCACTTTACATACTTTGAAACCTGCTG